AAAAATACCAGTCTGGGGTTAAAATCGTGGATCTAAAGGTAAACAAATAAAAGGTCCATTTATCAAAACAACATTCTGAATTTCTCATACCAAATTACCCCAAAAACATGAAATGGCGGCTTTGTATTGGCGGAACCTTTGAACATATTTTTTCCGACATGGCCAAAGGTAGCCATCTTGGATTTAGGGCATTCAAAAGGTTTACCCACATTGTTGAGAAGACAATTGGAACTAAATTAGTTTTTTTTAACCTTTGTACGTGACAGGAAACTTCCTCTTCTTTCCTCTGTCATGGTATTCAAATTACAACCTACAGTATAACCCAGGTAGGCCTATGTATATGTTGGGAGTTGTCCAGGATTATCTAGATTATTGTTTGCTCTGTCAACAAAATATTTGAGTACACACGACAATCATCAGAAATATTTGAGAAATTATAGGCTATACAAACACGGTTATATCGGTGAGATACTGTAGCTGATGGAATACAGAGACTCTAATTTGTTATCTGTCTCATCACTACTCAAACGTCATGCCTCTGTTTGCAGTGTGGTGAGAGGGAGGACAAGAGAGGGCAAGACCCATGAAATAATGTGGAATAATCTCATGTTTGTTTGCCAGGATAAATATTCAGTCTATTAGTGTGATTCACACTCTTCTACTGTATGACTGTGGGCCTCATTCACGGCTCACTTATTAGGCAGAGTGGATATGAGTCAGTTGTTATCAGGAAATGTAAAAATATGCAAGAGTATTAAAACCCAATGAATATTCGGTTTGTAGAAATCTGAATATTCATCGGGTCACTGATTTTTGTTGTCAGTAGAGGGGAAAAGGCCATTGAACACATATATGGAAAGGTATAATAACAAGGACACACAGTGATGCAAAAGTTGACCTGCAGTTGCATTCTAACTAATGCTATTATTCAATGACCTCTCAATGAAAATGTCACTAGCCATCATTTGAAGCATGGGATTTGAGATTATGAAACAAAGACAAGCATAGAAAGGTATTGTTGCTGCAAGCACATAGAACCAAAAACTGATTTCCATTTTAATCATAATCACATCTTTGTGATTCTACATCTGTCTTCCCCTGTGGAAAATAGACCTTCACCCTGACCTTCAATGAGATGTCTAAGGTATGTTTAAACTGTGTGGAACCCAGTAATTTACAACAAAACATAAGTACAGAGAAGAAAATTCAATACCCATCATACAGCACAGGGTTATTGACTTTGTGTTTTGTGTGAGGGTTTTTTCAAGCAGCATAAGAAAGTGCTGCTGATATGATGTTCATTATTACATGGTGTAAACTGGAACCAAAGGGTTGATTCGTCTCGTGTCTGTAGACGGTTGATTCCAAGTGCATGCTTGTTATTTGGGAAAAATACATCTAGAAGGCTTTGTGTCACATTGTATTTGTTGTTCTTTTGAAGTATCAAACACAATGTCAATATATCGTGTCTGTTCCTCAGGTACACATCTCTATCCGTCCTCTCAGACTCAGATTAACAGCCCGACCTCGGTGAGCCCTAATGTTTCCTGAAAGGTATTCCTGCCCTGCTCATTTTTACGCCCAGTCACAACATTTGTTTCCGCTGAAGCACAGCTAGTCAAGCAACAAATTAATAGCGACTGGTGGAACAAGATTCTCAGAGGGCCGTCGTGAAGGTTCACGCAGTGGAGTCTGACATCCAATTAGTCGCTTCAATCCGTAATGCAAGTGAGTAGGGATAGAAAACACTGGCATTATGTTCATTAAATAGTGGGAAATTACTATGTTTATTGGATTACTAAAGGGTTTGAATCAACAAAACTCCCTTTATGCATTCTGCAAGATGTTTTCTTAACATCTAAATGCCCATATTCGCTGTTGGTCTAATGTAATTTTATTTTGTTTTATAGCAGGCGGAACAATTTAGTTAGAGTAACCAGATACATTTGCACAGTGCAACAAATGGCTGAACCACATGCCATGAACAATTCTGAACTCCCTCCTCAGCACAGTGGGGTTTGTTAGCTGATAGGGCTAAATCAATAAAAGCGCTTTAATTAAAAGCTCTGGGAATACACCGTGCTGTCATTATGAGAGCACAAATTAACCGTGCACAGGTCCCTTGTTACTGTTTCAATTTTCTGCTCTTACAGAGTGAGACACTGAGATTAAAAGGTCTTCATGTGTGTATGGGGATTCCACATCCTGACACGCAAAATGTGTTTTCTACCTCTATATCTCCTGAGATGAACCCTCGTTCTGTTCCTCTCTTCGCTGTCCGTAAAGTGACAGCTGACCCCTTCAGGGAGGACAAAGCTATTCAGCCCTTTGTCACATCACTTTCTGAACAAAACGATCATGCAACCGGTGAAATACTTGAGGAGCCATGTTACAGCTCATGTCTTATAAGATGATAATACAAAGAGTACTCAAGTCAAATAACTGTAAGGAATGTGCAGTCTGTGCATTCAACTCAATTCTAAATATAAAACCAACTTGCTCAGTGTTGTCCTTAATAGAATTCGGATAATTAAGCAAATTGGTCGATAACAAACAGAAAGTCTACAAACACAACAAAGGGTGGAACGAGCAATAAGAGCCACATAACTTAAGTAGCCCGGCTCTTCAACAGCAGAGTAAAACATAACCGAAGCAAACAACACAGAGATAAACAATTTAAACCCCACAACAGTACAGCTCAGAAACAAATATAAAAGCTGACTGAGAGTGGCTAATCTACAAGTTATCATTGATGATTTGGATTGTATATGTAAGAACTTGTAGGGTCTCATTACTAATTTGAAGTGTAATGTCTGTTAAAAAGCTGAATAACGGATGCAGAGTGGCACACACCTTGAGTGTTACACATTGGCATTAAACTAGCATTTGCAAACTGGCAATATGCACATTTAAAATACATATGTGCAAAATTCACCAAAGACTTCATCAAAACCTCTTACTAAATGTTTGATGGTTGAGGATTGTGTCTGCAACCTTCATACACACTTTTGTTTAAAGTGTCAGAGGAGTTCAAGAGATTTGATCAGTATTAGATAAATGATTATAAAAGACCGCCCCAGGCCGCAAAAGACCACACAACAAAAGATTGATAGATGAGGACTGCTGAATCCGCCGTCAATGATATGTATACAGTAACATGTATTTGTTCATGTACTACAAGTATATCATCAGGTTGTCACATTTAGTTTTACTCTCCCCTTGTGTACTGTCACATCTCGTCTTGTCCATCATCATGCAAAGTAAACATCACTAATACGCTCTGCCAGCAATTCTTTTCAGACAGTGAATCAAGTCTTTTGATGCATATCAGCAGACAGCGAGGGAAAAGAGGACATGTACAGCGGTAGGGATCTCTATGAGAATGGCTCACGAATTTTAGCAGAGGCAAAAACAAAGAGCAGTGCGCACCTGGTCTATTATGTGAAAGGGTAACTGGGGCTCGGCGTCACATGAGTGGGTCGATCCAAGCGAATGCCAAAATGTGTCACAGAACAGGGAGAGCAATGGTTTCAAGTCATTTGAGGACAGGAGGGGGGAGGGGGGGGGAAGCTCTGCAAAAAATGCGGTACACAATTGTTGAATAGCAAAAGACTCAGCCACAGCCACATAAACTGAAAAAAATGATTTAAATATTATAATATATCACCATTTTAAAGGTGGGGTAGGTAAGTTTGAGAAACCGGCTCGAGATACACTTTTTGTTATATTCCATGGAATGCTCTTAACATCCCGATAGCAATGAATATCTTAAGTGCTTTGACAAAAAATCCATAAAAATATGTCATCTGTGGAAGCTGTGGCGCTGTAAAAAAATCTGAGCAGGCTCGGCTAAAGTAACTGGATGGCCTACCTGCCTGTCAGCCTTCCATCTGTGCACAAATGTATCTCGTGCCCTCATTGGTCATGTGCACGTTCGTGTGTGTTGCATGGATGTATTGGGGGAGGGGCTCTGTAAGGAAGTGGCAGATTTTTTCCGGCCGTGTATTTTCAAATTCTAGCGCACTCGAGCTGGTTTCTCCAAAATTACCTACCCCACCTTTAAGTTAACATTATACATATCAGAACAGATCAGCGCAGCAGCACGGATTTGAACAGTTTGAGATGTCATGGTAGTTTTAGTTTTGTCAGAGTTCATCTGATTTAAATACTAATATTATCGCTTTGCAGTTGTATGCCTCAACCAATCAGTCAAGTTGAAGTTTAAATCGATGTATGGTCAAAAGGTCATCACTTAATTTTATCCTATTAGACATGTATGTGTAATTGTCATAATTAGCAGCTAGTTACGGCCCAAAACATATGTTTCAAGTTCACAGTGACCTCCAACCACTCAATTCTGAACCACGTGGACGTTTGGGACAGAAATTCCCTCCTAGCATTCCTGAGTTAACTTGTTTATGAGAATATAACATGTTGTACGGACAACCCAAAAACATGTTGCCTGCGGCCATGCTCTAGCAGGCATAAATTAATCATAAATGAATGTTGGATGGATCTGTTTATAAGAGGACTTAATATATTCATGCATTAAGGCTATGGGTAATTATTTGCTGGTGCAATGGAGACATCTATATGTAAAGCAGTAGGCCATGTCACCTGTCTGTTTATATTTGGCAGCAAACATGTGGCTGACTTTCCAGAAGAAAGGGTTCAGCTTGATAATGAAGTCAAAATTGTGGTAAAAAACAGTCATGCCGTTATAATGAGTCGTTAACAGCTCTTTCCTTTCAATCTGATCAGCAGGCTCCTCCTAAACAGGAAGGCTGAGGGCTTGTTAGCTCGCAGGAAGCCACATTAATTACTGTGACGGCTGAGTTCAGCTTCATTAGGATGGACAGCCGCACTGCTGGAAGGAAAGACTAATATTCGGATGAATGGTGATAACGATGAAGTGCAGCACCGCAGAGATTTCAAAGGTTGGATCTGATTTATAGTTATGCATCTGATTCATGGGAATGTAGGAAGTGAGAACAACAGAGTCCATTGTTAGTGTGTTTATTACCACAGAATCATTTTGGTTCAACCTACACGTCCAACATCGATTACTGATTTTCACTATAGTGCACTTGATTTGACAATGTTTAAATATTTGCATTAGCTTCAGGTGATAAGTTACTAAGTTACTGAGAGGTGATAAATGACAAGCACACGTCCAGTTATCATATAAAAACCCAAACGAGACACAAAGCGAGAAATAAATACTGACGTTGTTCAAAACATTCACATTTACAGTTTTCTTTTTGTAATAGTTGCAACACACAATTTTTAAGCCATATCAAAAACTGTTACTTCAGCACTTACGCAGCGAAAAGGCCGGAGACTGAATGTCAAGATCATCTCTTTCACAAACCTCATATTTGACGAATGGAAAACAAACAAATGCAGCTAGTGCAGATTTACTCTATGTTAATGCCAACTACAGCAATTTATATTATTTTCAGAACCTTCATTATATTAGATTTATGTAATTCATCGACAAAAGAAACAGAAAAAAGAAGCAGAGAGTTCAGGCACAACAAATACCCTGAAGTGAAATAAAAACACTGGACATTAAGGAGGGAATAACTTATGTAATGAATGATTAACGTGAGATCTATTGGATATCAATCAACCCGTGTGCCAAAGCTTCACTTCAGAAAGTAAAGGTGCCTTACACTTCTTGGATCTATCCTTGGGACGATATTACCACAACACTTTACAACATTATGCGACAAATGAATTCAGCTCAAGGTTAGAGTTGTATCAGAAAATTAAGAACATTCTGTTAAACAGATGGAATGCCATAAACAGCCAAATGGTCACATTACACTGATAGATCTTGTGTTTGTAGTAATATATCTGTTGCTTATGGTCGTTAAAGAGGTTAAAATGGTTGTTGTTGTTGTTGCAGACAATTTGTAGGAAAACTTTCAGCTTTCATGTTTGTTAAATGAAAACTTGATGGGGGCATGCATTATGGTTCATCTACTGTAAGCATAGAGTAACTGCAGCATGATTGAGAGTGTTAGTATTAATGTTCATCAGAATTTCACGAGTGACATCATGTTTTATTTTTTACCACAATAACAGATATTAGCATTTGGCTAACATTTGAGCTTTACATCTCTGCCTACAGGAGCTCTTCGTCTGTATGTGCTACAGGTCAAACACAACAACATATTCGCTATGAAGTGAAAATGAAGACATTCAGCGCTGCGCTCCACTGTGGGAGTTCCTCTGTTGGAGTGTCCGTCTCCGTGGCTGGATGATGTGTTCAGGGTCTGCTACGTTCATCAGCCTATCTCTTGGGTCTGTCAATGTCATCGATGGCGGCCAGCAGTTTCTGACGAGCCTTCTTGTTAATATGTGAACCCAGACAAACGTTCACCAAGTTGGCCAGCTGCTTCATGGAGTACTCCTGAGAAGAAAAAACAACACAAAAAGGGAGTCAGCAGAGCCGGTGCGCTGCCTCTCAGCATGAGGCTTTCAGAGAAACGCAGGTGTTGACATTTGTCTGGGAAAATAAAACCGATACTCAAATTAAACTTGATGTAGTGTTGCATAGAAGCTACACTGAAAAACGTTGACTTTTATTAAACGTATGACTTTTTGTAACTGTATTAGGTTAGTTGAAAGCATACATTCAGGGAGGATAAACTTAAAGGTCACCTATTGTGCAAAATCCACTTTTTCATGTCTTTTATACATAAACATGTGTCCCCTCTGTGTAAAGAGATTCTGAAAGATTCACGAAAAAAGATTCTCTCCCTTTTTGTCCTGATCCATTTCTATAAAAACCTGTCTGAAAATGAGCTGATCAGATTTTGGCCACTTTATGATGTCATAACGATTTTTTGGCTTGTGTAACCGTTAGCCAATCACCAACCAAGGTAACCCCCCCACATCAGTACTTTTGAAACAGGGTCTGATCTGTTTGGTATTTGGAGCCAAACACTTCAGAGACATGTTTTGTATATATCTGAGACCTATAATATATTGATGAAAAACAGTATAATAGGGGACCTTTAATGTGATTTTTTAACATGAACTATTTAATTAGAGTCAACGTTTCAGTTTTTTCAGTGTAACGCTACCATCTTCCATTCCTCCCGTCTCACCCTGTGGTTCTTGATAAACTGCTCCATGTCGTTCTCCGTCAGGTAGTAGGCCTTGATGTAGGTCTCGACAAACTCTTTATCAGGGATGGGTCGCAGGTCGGTCAGCTTCTCCAGCTTCATGAGGAACTGCTGGAAGTCGAGCTGCATCAGAGCCCGGCCCTCATTGCTGCATTTCTTCACATTAGCATAGCTGCAGCAGAGGATGAAACAGCAGAAAGGGAAAGAGGAATATTAGCAGCGAAGAATTCAGGTGGAGGTGGGCGATGACTGGAAAGCCTGCCCTTTTTTCTTTTGATTCAACAAAGTCCTCACAGGTGTTGGTCCTATGTGTCTGGCCGAGGGGAAATCTATCACATTTTCCACCCTTGAATAAACGGATTCCTTACAAGCGAGCCAAATCTGTCAGCAAACTCTTTTCTCGAACTCCATGTGGCTTCTTATTTTAGCGCCCTGGTGTGAATTTGTTATGCATTAAAAAATGGTCTGGGAGATGAGTTTCAGCTCGTCTTATGCCAATTTCTATAAACATTAGAATTAATATGAATCCGTCAAAGCTCCAGCAGCGAAGTTAACAAAGAAATGGGAAGTCATTAAAGTTAGGGGAGAGACTCAGAATCCATTAGAGTATGAACTATTTATGAATGGAAATAAAAAAACGAGATATACGTGAAAACACTTGTGCCATTTATATTAATAATAATGAAACCTGCATGAGACACATTTCATTTTAGACTGAGATGTAACAAAGACAAATCAATCATCATTATTATTTTGTGCTTTTTATTCCGCATGCTTCCATTTTATTCAAAGTTTGATTCCTTTTAATTTGTTCTTTTACCTTGCATGTGTTGGATTACATCTGTGATGTTTTTCTTCTTTTCTAAATATTTGGACAAGAGTGTTTGTGTATTTTTATGAAACAATCAATTGAAATGTTAAAAACAATTAAATGGATATTTATAACAGAGGTGCTGTGAGTCAGTTGTTAAATCATCTATTTAAAGACTGCAGTGTGTTTTTATAAACATGACATATGTGTGTGTGTGTGTGTGTGTGTGTGTGACATGTGTGTGTGTGTCTGCATGTGTCCTATATTAAATATGAAGTCAGCTTGTTCCACTGAGCTGTCTGTGGAATGTCAGGAAGAGTGTGTGTGGGCTAGTCATACACATGTATTTCAGTGTGTGTGTTTGTGTAGATATTCCAGGTGTCTGGCAGCTGAGACTGTTGTCCACTGGCAGGTCGGTGACTGTGACATCTACAGAACTTTAGCACACCACACACGCCGCTCTCTGTGTCTCACACTTCATCTTTTCCCTCTTCTCTTTCCATCTTCTGCCTCACACCCTCTCTCCCTCTCACCCCCTGTCATCTTCTCTCGTCCCTTTGCTTCAGGCCTGCCAGCGTTTGGCGCTGAGTGTTTGAGCTTCGCCTCAGAATGCTAACAGAGCCATCTCTCGGAGTCTGAGGGGAGTCGAGCGCTGGACAGAGAAATTAAACAACAGGCTTGCGAGGCGGAGAAGAAACAAACAAGTATGACCACCACCGCGCCTCGCTGTGGCAGAGGGGGGGGATGATATGTGTGTGTGGAGGGAATGTATTTGGAGAACCAGGCAGACGGCAGGAGTCTGCAAAAGCTGCTTCAAGTTGCCAAGCATCACATTTGTAATGGGCCATTTGTTCGCTGGAATGGGTTCAAAAATTCTCTTACGCAATGGGAAGAAAAGTACTCAGCGAATGTGTTGGGATGTAAACATGTTCCCTTTTCTCAGTGGGTGAGGGCAAGCTTTTTACTGAGGCTTTATATCCAATGTTGTCCTTCTTTAAACACTTCGCAGGCACTAAACCATTTAACGGACCATTTTCTTCACCTGCTATTACAACCCCACATAAACTCTCACTGCAAACCGAACAAATGAGCGATTCAGACCGACGTCGGGCTCCAGAGCAGCCAATAAAAATGTGTGTAACCTCATGATAATTGTCGGCTATTAGCGACTGGCTCCGTCACTGGCTCCGTCACGGCCGAGCGTCTCTGCTGTGCATCCAGTCCGCGGGGGTGTAAATCACACCTTCAATCTGAATGCAGGTGCTGAGGAAAAACTCTGAGGCTCCGTCACCTGTCACAACCCATACGTCTCGCTTAAAAGTGGTGAAATGCATTATAAGGGATTTGTCAAGAACGTTTTACACTTTTTGTGAGTGGCCTGTTTAATGCAACTCCCCGATGGACAGATGTGACTGGCACACAGGGTTGCCAGCACGAGGAGAGAAAGATCTGCCGGGGATTTAGATTGTGTTTTCTGTGCGGGTTTATTCATAAGAAACCTGGCAACGCTGTTTCTAAGTTTCTTATGTACTGTAGCTAATTTCCCCTTGGTCTTCGTGGCATTTGACAACATGCTTTGGAAAAAAAGTTCTCTTTTAATTTATGATGCGCAGATGTTCCAACTGAGAGATAAACAAAGAAAGACTTTAGGAGGATAGAGAAATTCCACTTCTCCTCGATCATAATCTCTGAAAACCTAGTGAGTGGGATGCAGTGACTCACATGCTGTTGGGAAGTGTTCAGCTTAGACTCTGACTGTGACCCCAGAGACACAAGCACAAAAAGGTTGTCATAACGATACGTGACAATAGACTTAAAACTCCCTGTGGACGTAAGAAAGAAAAATCGGTGTTGTATGGGTCTGCCCGTAATTTAGCTTGGTAACATTACAGTTCTGAATAATTCATGACACTAAAATGTGGATTGAGCAATATGCATTTCCTTTGTCCCTACATTTTGGTTTCCAGACCTGAATTGATTCTTGAATAGCTGCTGAGATTTCCTAAATAAATATTCAATTCACAAACACCTGAATGAGGCTTCTAGTAAACCGATCAATAGGATTGCTGACTTTTTATTTTTTGACTTAATATATTTGTGAATAATGCATTAATTCAGGTAGGAACTGCTTACTGGAAGGAAATCCACAAAGTAACACACTTTTATTGGCAGGAAAACGCTAAAAGTGAATTCATAGCATGTAGGATTTCAACCTCACGTTTGACCTTTGGAGCTTTTCTCCTGACATTTTTTGTGGGTAGGTGACCTCACTACGACTCAATCTTGGATATGCACATATAAATATAAAGAAATGGATGTAACTTGTGTGGGAAATCCAGCCGTGACAACACCAAGCAAGGACAAACTCCACACTGTGTACTTTTGCTCTGGATGTGCTCTTAGGTGGAATAAATGGAAATCAACAAAGCGTAAAGAGAAGTCTATAACGCTCAGGTGAAGTTCAAATAACTGCAATCTCCTCTGACAGGTTGGAAAGACTATCCAATAAGATACACTTCATGTAAGTCTATTGTCTTTTCATCAGATATTGAGGCACAAACAGGAAGTAGCTTTATCAAAGCTAATTAAATATATTTTGTCTAAATAAATGACCATGTGCATTTCAAGAACTGTGTCCCGCTGATTTACAGTTTGACACATAAAGAAATATATGACACCCAATAAAAGGTGTTGTTCTACAGAGATTTCAACAATAATTCAAAGTGACGGAAAAAGCCGCTTTGGCTCTCAGCAGACTGACGCCAGACTGCACACCTCCCCTTGAAGCTGAATAGGTGTTTTATGGCTTCCCTTACCCCTCTACTAGAGTCCTGTTGGCCAGGCGGATGCAGTGCTCCCACAGGACGTTGGACACAGGCAGGGGGATTCGTACATGTCTGGAAACATCCTCCAGACGTTTGTTAAACTGCTCGAACTCCTGCGAAGGTAGAGGAGAGAGATGAACATATTAAGTCAAGTTAACTTGAGTGGCATAGAAAGTAGCAAAATAAATGAATTTCAAGTGGTTTTAACTTCTTTATGACGATTTATTCATAATATCTCAATGTAAAACACTTTATTAGCTTGTGCAAGGTTTGATAAATAAACACACACCTATGTATATTATAATGTATTGACTGTACAGAGGAAACAAGCCAGTATGGGATGATAAAACTTGAACTGGAAGTCTTCACGGCCAACCCTATACATGCATTTCCTCTGACTCACTCTCAGCTACTCTGTGTTCCTGGATGACTTCCAACACCAAACCTTACTTGGAAAAGCTGAACAGTGTTATAAAACAACCTTGTGCTGTGAATTTCACAACCCAGTTATTTACAGCGTGTAAAAATAAACTATAATAGGGATTTGCATGAATCTCTTTTTATAAATCAAGCATGTTTATACATTTGGCATACCAAGACGATTCTAAATATGGGTACAAGAACCTCGAAGTGATCAAGGATAAATACTTTTTCTCAAGCCTATAGTATGTCTGGGTTTTTGTAACGCAACTCTACTTTAGCCGAGCTGATTTAATGATTTTGCAGTCTGGACTAATGAACAAAACATCCTGAAGCAAACGGAGCAGGAAGTATGAACCCACTAAGCCACAAATCATGCGTTAAAACAAATCTTTTGAGCACTGCTAAGTACTCTTCGTAGGATTGGGAGCATCCAAACTGGACTCATTCATTCACTTTTTGATGCATTCAGGCACAATAGTCGGCCTTTGGACTGTTTAATCATATCTTTCAATACATACTTGATATTACATTTGAGATTTGTGCTATAGTTACATCAGAGATCTCGCCATTTCTTGCAAAAAAAACATGGTTTTCATGCCCAAGTACATACAAAGGACACCAGTCCTGAGGGAGTTGTTACAACTGGCCTCCACATGCTTCCCCTTTCATGTTTTAACACAAAGAAAAAAAGAGGAAACATCTCAGCGGACGGTGTTGGCTGCAGGATACAATCGCACACAAGTCACAAGTGGCCCGAAGCTACCTCTTTTGATGCTTCTGTTTTGTAGCTATAAACTATTTGCACTGTTTACTCACTGCACTCTGAATTGTTCAATGATGGATGATACAGGGAACAAATTGCAGAACATCAGAACTGGTCAAAAATAAGATGGATGTGTCTCAGGAGAATTATGTGGTTTTCCTGGTGTGACTTTTCAAATATATGTCTCTCAACTTTAATTCAAACTGCATCTTATTAACAAAAAAAATGAAGCTGAATTTGAAGGTATACACAATCACCATTAATTGTTTCTGACTTAAGCAGCTTGTCAATGAAGTCATTCTGAGGCTGCTGCATTTCCTCGCCACTTTATATGCAAATCAATGCCATTGTTGAATGCCAGTGATCAACCTGAACTCATGAATAAAATATTCTCCCGTGTGCAGTACAAGAAAATGTTGCACATAACAACACAATCCATAAGCATTATGAGTGTCTGACAAGTTGGCAGAGAGGGCTATTAGCAGCTGATGAGGAAAAGTACCTTCCTGTTGTAACATGCATCATGTCTGTCCATCAGCTGGACCACTTTGTCACGGTTAGGTATTCAACCCAGGCTAGTGACACAGAGATTCCCCTCAGGTAATTTAAAAGCTCATGAGCTTAATTAGTTGGACTAAACTGCAGAGCTGCCGGAGCTGGACGAAGATCTATGAGCCATTTAAGAATTTAAAAGGTAAGTTTGCGAACTTTTTACAAACTTTTAGCCGTGACTGTTTGTGGGTTTATTTATTAAACCTTTAAATAACATCTGTGTTTAAAATGTTGATTTAATCAGAAGCTTTTTAAAACATGCTGATGCCTAAGTAGGGATTAGTCTTGGTTAAGTGCTGCTCTGCTCAGGATTTCACACGGCAGCGAGCCCTTCAGACCTTTCTGCTTCTAAATGGCAAAGGTTATAAAACTAGTGCAGTGTGTCCTTCCATCCCATGCAACATTTATAGGGGATAAGTGGGCAGCATGCATAAAGACACACATTTAGAGGAAATCTTCCACTTCCAAAAATACGTGCGGGACTGGTGAGCTCGGACACATTTAACAAAACTTCAGGAGAGATCTGCATTCAACTCTCAACAGCTCACCCACCCTGTGCTAAATTATTCAGCACATCCCAAATAATGAATATTAAAGGTCCCTGAATGAACTAAAACTCATAAAGGGACACAAGGAACTTCTTGACTTTAAGTGGAATAAAGACTAATCCTTAATGTTAATGACACAGATGTTAAAAGGATAAACACAGATGACATTTCTCAAGACAAACAAAAACACTGTGAGGAAAATACCCGCTAGCTAAAAGCAAATCTGTTGCCTGTTGTTTGTTCAACTTTTTGTAGATATTTTACTTTAATGAATCCAATACCATCATTTTAATGTCTAGCCTACATTATAGCACATAACAAGTTCCATCAACAGTCACCTTGTCATTTCTTCTGAAACCTTACCTTCAACAGGACGTCCACGTATACATTATGCTGGGACATTATCTCCCTAATGTCCCATTTAACTCCAGCCATCAGGAGCAACATTTGTTCATAGTCGATGGCCTTAGCCGCAACAATCCAGTAAATTGGTTTCCGAAGTTCACTGGCTGTAGAAACTGTCTGAGAGGAAAAGAAAATAGATCTTTGTGAGTTACACAATGTGTTTTTTATTGTCATGAACGTAGAAAACTTTTTGTGTGACACATATAGAGTCGAGGTCACCTTGCACGTCATCAATTCCACAATATTTCCAAGAGTGAAATCATGTTTGGGGTAAATAGACCTGTCTATGCACCTGAACATTTCAAATATCAAGTTGACAAAAAAGAAAAGACTGAGTATGGTTGTGAGTAACGGATAATTGTCTCCTTTGTTGTTGGGGAACAGCACTGAATGTAGGTTGGCAGTTACATGCTTGTTTAGCTTTACTGAGAAACAGGCAAAAATTAGTTAAACACCAATTAATAGTGACTCTGACATATGCTTTGATTCTATAATAGATAACAACACATGATAAGGAGATGATTGGTTCCGCCTGTGTAAGTCTAGCTGACAGTGACAACCTGGTTTGCAGTAACACACACACACACACACACACACACACACACACACACACACACACACACACACACACAGACACACACACACACACACACACACACACACACACACACACACACACACACACACCACACACACACACACACACACACACACACACACACACACACACACACACACACACACACACACACACACACACACACACACACCACACACACACACACACACACACACACACACACACACACACACACACACACACACACACACACACACACACACACACACACACACACACACACACACACACACACACACACACACACACACACACACACACACAACACACACACACACACACACACACACACACACACACACACACACACACACACACACACACACACACACACACACACAGGGAGCAGGTGTAAACATACCTGGGAGTAAAACTGTTGCAGGAAGGGCTTCTTGGCTGCCGGCATCATCGTGTCCAGGTGGAACTGAAGGGATTCAAACTGTTCAGCCAGAAACACCCTGGAGCAAAAACAGGATCATATCATATCAGATATTTTCGACTTATTTAGTTCAGTTTAAACCCTACATTGGAGCAACTGACAATAAAAGACTGAACATCAGACGTTACGTTGGTTAAAATCATGTAAATATACAAATAAAATGCTAACCTTCCACAACGTTCAATGATCACCATTCTTTGCCATCGCTGCAATCTAATTCCTCCCCATGGTAATTAAAGATCAGTGTAATAAATAATTAAATCGGATAGACTCCAGTGTTGTCACAACATTAATTATCTCTCAACTCCGCACGTTGTGAGCAGAGCTTTCATTAATGAAAATCTCTCAAGGCACCAGTTTTTCTTTTATAATGAATAGATTTCAATGATCTTAACAACCTTTAAAAACATTGAGTGGAAGTGAAGTAGCAGGAAAAGAAAAACAGGGCATAGGAAAAGTAATGTGCACAGACCTGATACAACCATTCCAGCACTGTGACAGAATAAAGACCTTTGTGCTCGCACTGAAGTTTTACTGTACGCTAAATACAAATGAGAGGGAGCTGTTTGGGGTCACAGTGAGTTTAAAAAGCATGACTGCTACAGTACAGCCCGGCTCACATAGTGATTTGTTTACAGTTCCAGGTCAACAACAACACAACTTATCGGACAGTGCTATTTAAAGGAGGAAAACAACTCAACAAGACATGAGGGCCAATTCTGTTTTGATCTCACTCAGAAAGCACTCTGAGCTCCACGATTTGTGCAGTTTTTGTACAAATGAAACATTTTGTCTTGTTTTTTTTATATTAAGAAGGGGGGGGATTTAATATTATCTCAAAAACAACACATATTGAATGCATTGGGATTTTAACGTCCATTTCAAGGCAAGGCAAGGCAAGGCAAGGCAAGTTTATTTATATAGCACTTTCCAACACAAGGCAATTCAAAGTGCTTTACAAAAAATGAAAGAGATTAAGAAAATGGCATTTAAAATCAGTCATTAAAAAGAAAAGCTAATAAAATAAACATTAAAAGAAAAAATACATGGATAAAAGTTACAGTGCAATTAAACATTAAAAGAAAAAGTACATGGATAAAAGTTACAGTGCAGTCTAAGATATTAATAGTTCAATTAAAAGCAGCGACAAAAAGAAAAGTCTTCAGCCTGGATTTAAAAGTAGTAAGAGTTGCAGCGGACCTGCAGGTTTCTGGGAGTTTGTTCCAGATATTTGGAGCATAATAACTGAACGCTGCTTCTCCATGTTTAGTTCTGACTCTGGGGACAGAAAGCTGACCAGTCCCTGAAGACCTGAGAGATCTGGATGGTTCATCATTTAGCAGGAGGTCAGAAATGTATTTTGGGCCTAAACCATTCAGTGCTTTATAAACCAGCAGCAGTATTTTGAAATCTATTCTTTGACACACAGGAAGCCAGTGTAAAGACTTCAGAACTGGAGTGATGTGATCCACTTTCTTAGTGTTAGTGAGGGCTCGAGCAGCAGCGTTCTGAATTAGCTGCAGCTTCCTAATAGATTTTTTAGTGAGACCTGTGAAGACACCATTGCAGTAGTCGAGTCTACTGAAGATAAAAGCATGGACAAGTTTTTCCAAATCCTGCTGTGACATTAGTCTTTTAATCCTAGATATATTCTTTAGGTGATAGTAGGCTGATTTAGTAACAGTTTTAATGTGACTGTTGAAACTCAGGTCAGAGTCCATGACTACACCTAGATTTCAGGCTTTACCTGTTGTTTTGAACATTGCACACTGAAGCTCAGCGCTAACTTTTATACGTTCTGCCTTGGCTCCAAAAACCATTACCTCAGTTTTATCTTTGTTTAATTGGAGAAAGTTCTGACACATCCAGTCATTGAATTGTTCAATGCACTTACTCAGTGTTTGAATTGGAGCATAGTCTCCTGGTGAAATTGTTACGTAAATTTGTGTGTCATCTGCATAGCTATGGTAACTTATTTTGTTGTTCTTCATTATCTGAGCCAGTGGTAGCATGTAGATGTTAAAGAGAAGAGGCCCCAAGATGGAGCCTTGAGGAACCCCACATGTCATATTTGTCAACTCAGATGTGTATTTACCTATAGAAACAAAGTTGTTTCTGTCCTTTAAGTAGGATTCAAACCAATTCAGAACTGTTTCCGAAAGTCCCACCCAGTTCTCCAGTCGGTCTAGTAATATGCTGTGGTCAACAGTGTCAAACGCAGCACTGAGATCTAATAATACTAACACTGAAGTTCTGCCACTGTCTGTGTTTAAGTGGATGTCATTAAAGACCTTTACAAGAGCAGTCTCAGTGCTGTGGTTTGGACGAAAGCCTGACTGGAACACATCAAAACAGTTATTTAAATGCAAGAAATTACTCAACTGTTGAAAAAAACAACTTTTTCAATGATTTTACCTAGAAATGGGAGGTTTGATATGGGCCTGTAATTGTTCATTACTGAAGCATCTAGATTATTCTTTTTTAAGAGCGGTTTAATGACTGCAGTTTTCAGGGCCTGTGGAAAAATACCTGAGTGAAGAGATTTGTTTACTATATGAAGTAGATCTGAGGCCATGCAAGGCAAAACATCTTTGAAAAATCCTGTTGGAATAATATCAAGGCAGCAAGAGGAGGATTTCAGAAGTTGAATAATGTCCTCTAGGTTTTTATCATTAATCTGATGGAATTGTGTCATGATGTCTGAATTGATGTTAAGTGGAGATAGGGACAATACATTTGCTGTTCCTGATGCAGAGGCACTGACTGCTTGTCTGATTTTCTGAATTTTGTCAGTGAAAAAGGAGGCAAAATCATTGCACGCCCTGGTGGATAGAAATTCAGAGGCTTCAAAAGGAATATTGTAAAAAATATGACCCTGAGGTAAAGGTTAGAATAACTTAATGACTGATTGACTGATTTATCCAATACCTGCAATTTTTGAGAACTGATAGCACTGATGCTAAATGAACATCTGTAAGGATGCTGCACAACAGTGAATATGTGTAACTACAATATAAATATTTATATCAAAAGCAACAATTAACATGAATAAGTGCCGTCTTATTTCTGCTAAATCCTTGAGCACATAGGATTTTTTTTTTTTAATATTACATTACATGTTACTTGTTAGACGCTTTTATCCAAAGCGACTTACATACTCAATACTGTGGGCAATCCCCACAGGAGCAATTTGGGGTGAAGTGTCTTGCCCAGGGACACAACGACATGCTGACTGCAGTGGGGTTTGAACCTGTGACCCCCTGATCCGAACACCAACGCACAACCCACTGCACCACACGCCTCCTCAATATGCAGCATAAATTATATTAAGGTTACCTGGAACAACTTTACTACGGAAAGGAAAAGCTCACACTGCATTTCACACTTATAGCGGGTAGAATGGTGTGTGATAAAATAGAATGACACAGATAAAAAAGTATTGAACACAAGGGAGGTGAAAAAGGCATGGGAAGCTGAACAACAGCCTGAAATATGAACAGCGGAGAGAGGGTTAACTTACAGAGCTCCTATCTTTAGTTTCTACATTTAATCAGTGGTGTAGTGGGCGTTGGACGCGGGGGTACGCCGTACCCCCACTTATTTGGAGCATGATCTTTTTTTTAAGTCTAATAAATATAAAATCATTGCCAGTGTTATCAGTTGGAAGTGTCTATTTGTTGTAATAATGACGAAAACATAATACATTTCACCGTAATTATAATAAAGAATAAAAACAATTTCCTTAAAAAAGTATGATTCATCATCACGCTCGCGGTCACTGACACACCCACGGCGAGCCAGCTCGCCGCGCCCGCCGATTAGAACACTAAGGAAAAAGAAATGTTTTACTTGACTTATTTTCTAAAAAGAAAAGAATTCACAAGAAGAAAGAGGCTAGCAGCACCGAAGCTACAAGTGAAGCTGCTAGTAATACATCATCAGAAGAGCCGCCTAAAGACGTGGATAATGCTAGCTAACGTGCACGTTAGCTGCGCTAGCAACGTTCCCCTGGCTAGCTCAAGCTCACCTTTCCCAGAGGTATGGACGGAGGAGATGTGGCGGAGGAAACAAGAGGCTACCCGTGGATAGACTGCAAAGCTGGGAAACTGGGTTGCAAAGTTTGTTCATCCATTTCGGATTTATCAGTCTTCAAAACCCAAGGTGTGTGTGTGTGTGTGTGTGTGTGTGTGTGTGTGTGTGTGTGTGTGTGTGTGTGTGTGTGTGTGTGTGTGTGTGTGTGTGTGAAAAGCAGCGCTGTCTGCTTATTTGCAATGTAGGCTAGGCCTAATCAGAATAATGTCAAGTCCAGATTCAATCAACCTGATCTCACCAGAATGCGTGACTCCACCACGCAACCTTAACACCGCATTGCGTGGTGGAGTCACGCATTCTGCTACATTTACGTGTCGGCACCACGCAAAAAAACCCCAATGTAAAGTGAATGAGGCTCTTTTGTCGTGGTGCACACACGCATTCTACAACGTCCCGCAGTGAGCTTTTATTCTATAAAACGTTTTTTAAATCTACTTTATAGCTTGTAGTAACTCACAGGAGGCTTCTTTTATTTTATTTGTATTCATAATAATTTTTATTTGTCGTCAGAATGTATTATGGTGCATTAGTCACACATTTTTGTTCTCAAAAAACAGTGCATTGTGTGTAATACAACTGTGATTTTTATTAAATTAGTTAGTTTTTAAGGAAGGCCAGAGCTTCAGCTGTGTCAATATATTGTTCCCTTTAGTTAACGTTATTTAAAAGATAATGATCATGTCCCCTTTATTGTATTACGAGCATCCATTCCCATTGGATAACGGAGAATTTTACACCCGGAAGTAAGTATTCTCCTTACAGTCGATTGATTTTACAGTGATATCTGAACTACTCATCAACACCAGATTATCCTTGTTAATTACACAACATTGATTGGTTTAAATTGTGTACAATGCTTTTGTATTTTCCCCTTCGATTCGGAGAAACAAATATTTTTTCGGAGTAAAGGATGGCAGAAGACACTACACTACCCAGAATCCTCAGCTATCGTTTGGGACTACACCATGTGCTCTGTTTGACAAACCCCGTGATCAGTCCTCAAGCTCTGTGATTGGTTGACCTCCAACTGCATTCCAAATGAAAAAAAACGTTTCGTAAAAGATAAAATCATACTTTATTCAGCAGTGCTTGCTTTACTCTTTGAAAGTCATCACATTAATGCATTGTAATAAATGGTTTGGCTGCATTAAATATTACACATCTATCGTAGTTCTTTATTTATCTACAGAGATCGGGCATCAGAATAGACCGGAAACTATTCTTTTACCGTTCTGTTTTAATTTCACAATAAAGTTAGTAGTAATAATCTGTTTTGATATTATTGTTTTTTATTAACTACTAGACCGCTGGGTCATGTTAAGACCATCTTTTCTGTGTTACTGTGGGTTTTTTCCATCGCTTTTGTTACAAATATCAAAACAATAACAAAATATATCCGTCGTAAACTAAACCAGAAACAGCAATATATTTTATTTTGTTAACACTTTAAACTTGACAGTTTTTTAAACCCGCACCTCCTACTGGTTAAAGCACGTTATTACACGTTTGGAGTAATTGCAATGCAGGAAGATTATGTTGCTTTTTAATGACTGTTTAAAATGCATTTTTCTTAATGTCTTTCATATTTTTGTAAAGCACTTTTGAATGTGTTATATTTGATGAAAACATTTACATATTAAGAGTACATACAAAATAGTGGGAAAGTAGAAGGTCAATGATATAAATATAGAATAGAAAATATCAAGAAGATACTGTAAATAATATCTACAACAAAACAGTTTAGTGCCTGATAGGAGGATGTGCAAAACAGACAAACTAATAAGGCTTTATTTAAACATTAAAGAATACTTTAGGCTAAGGTCTTCTTTTAAATAAGAAAAAAAGCTTTGGGGGTATCTATCTACAGATACATATTAAGCCTGACAAAGTGCTTAACGTCTAATATATTGCATGGTTTGTTTTGGAACTTGACAATCAACTTTCCTGCAATGTTAACTATGTTGAAGCATTTATTTTAACCGATATTATACATATTTATTATACTCTTATGTAGATAGTATAAGAAATGTGCAGAATATGACAGTTTAATGGTGGAGGTACACACATATTGATAGATGTCTTGTAATGCACTGTTGAGGAACCTGCGACCCAAGTTTTTCATTCATTGCATAACTACACCGTAGTTGTGTATATGATATGTCAATAAACCTTTGAAAATCTTGAAATCTTGAAAGGGATGTGCAAAATATCAATTATATGCAGTCTTTAATGAACGATTAGAGAATAACGAGTAATGAATATGCTTTATACGGATCTGCAGATAAATGTTTAGTCTTCTCAAGCACCAACTATCAAATATCTCTCTTGATTGTTGGCACTTGACAATCACCTTCACTGAATTTTACTCAGGTGTAACTAAAGTCTGATTTAAGGGTTGTTTATATTTCACATCATTAATCCAAATCTGTAAAGTAACTAAAATAAATGTAGTGGAGTAAAAACACCACGTTAACCTTAAAGAAAGCCCTCAGGATTATAAAAGACCCCCATCACCCCAGCCACAAACTGTTCTGTCTGCTGCCGTCTGGCAGGCGGTACTGCAGCATCCGGACTAAAACCATCAGACTCAGGGACAGCTTCATCCCACAGGCCAGAAGACTATGAAACACCTGAACTTAGAAACAACATCCATAACATTCATCTGGCTGCTACTTAGAAATTATTTATCTAATATATCATATTCACAATGTAGTGACTGCTTTTTTGTCTTTTGTTTTCTTAGTTATGTTCTCTTTTATATGTGTGTGTTATGTGTTATGTGTAACGTTACTAACTTCTTGGCCAGGTCAGCATTGAAAATGAGATTGTATCTCAATGCTTTTATCTGGTTAAATAAAGGTTAAATAAAAATTAAAAAAGATTCCAATCAATCTTGTATATAGACTCTTATTGCACTATTTCACTATTTTTTCTGTGTATCTGTTGTATTGTGTTGCACTGTTGGAGGAGCCTGCAACCTAAGGGGGGGGTGGGGGGGATAGGACACGTTCGATTCCTGTTTTGAATAGTGTGCCGTCGATGGGTTTCATTCCATTTCAAGGTGCTTTTTGACGCTCCGTGTAAACTTCGCGTACAGCCACTCCAACATCCAATCACAGAGCTTGGGGACTGATCACGGGGTTTGTCAAGCTAAGCACATGGTGTAGTCCCAAACGATAGCTGAGGATTCTGGGTAGTGTAGTGTCTTCTGCCATCCAAAAACTCCGAACAAATATTCGTTTCTCCGAATCGAAGGGGAAAAATACAAAAGCATTGTACACAATTTAAACCAATCAATGTTGTGTAATTAACAAGGATAATCTGGTGTTTTTGAGTTGATGAGTAGTTCAGATATCACTGTAAAATCAATCGACAGTAAAGAGAATACTCACTTCCGGGTGTAAAATTCTCCATTATCCAATGGGAATGGACGCTCGTAATACAATAAAGGGGACATGATCATTATCTTTTAAATAACGTTAACTAAAGGGAACAATCTATTGACACAGCTGAAGGTCTGGCCTTCCTTAAAAACTAACTAATTTAATAAAAATCACAGTTGTATTACACACAATGCACTGTTTTTTGAGAACAAAAATGTGTGACTAATGCACCATAATACATTCTGACGACAAATACAAATCATTATGAATACAAATAAAATAAAAGAAGCCTCCTGTGAGTTACTACAAGCTATAAAGTAGATTTTAAAAACGTTTTATAGAATAAAAGCTCACTGCAGGACGTTGTAGAAATGCGTGTGTGCACCACGACAAAAGAGCCTCATTCACTTTACATTGGGGTTTTTTGCGTAGTGCCGACACGTAAATGTAGCAGAATGCGTGACTCCACCACGCAATGTGGTGTTAAGGTTGCGTGGTGGAGTCACGCATTCTGATGAGATCAGGTTGGATTCAATGTTGTTTGCACAAGTAGGCCTATGGCTATATTTTTCGTTTTGTTTATTCAATAAGTTAATTTCAGGACAACTTTGGACATTTTGTTTGTTTGTTATGAGTTTTAAATGAGAGAGAGAGAGAGAGAGAGAGAGAGAGAGAGAGCGAGAGCGAGAGCGAGAGCGAGAGAGAGAGAGAGAGAGAGAGAGAGAGAGAGAGAGAGAGAGAGAGAGCGAGAGAGAGAGAGAGAGAGAGAGAGAGAGAGAGAGAGAGAGAGAGAGAGAGAGAGAGAGAGAGAGAGAGAGAGAGAGAGAGAGAGAGAGAGAGAGAGAGAGAGAGAGAGAGATGTCTGCTTAGTTGCAATACTGTAGCTTATGCAATTTAGGCCTATACATTGTTTATGTAACGTATGTGCCAGTGTGTCCATGGTTTTGAGTCTGTGTGTGTGTTGAGCGCAGCGCCGTCTGCTTTTTGCAGTACAGTAACTAAAGTAGGACTAAGCATACCGGTAGTTTCTGTGGACCTGTCTGCCCGTTTTGTGAGTGCACTGCGTGCATGCGCACTTGTGTGGCATTGTTTGGGATGACCTAATTAAAATAGCGTCCCCCCAGTAAAAAAATCCCCACTACACCACTGCATTTAAGTCTATCTTGGTTTTATCCTGGGTTTAACACTTAAGATGCCACAGATGCTCACAACACACACTAAGGTAAGCTGCCTTTTCCTACAACACCTTTTTCAGACGGAATACTTTTCATGCAGTCCTGCCCAGAATAAGTCTGACATGTTTCTCCCTCGGGATCTTTTCGTTTTCAATCTTTACCAGAGAAATATTTCCACCTATGCACTTGAGCTCTTTTACTTTCATTATTCTTCTGAGGCTTTTGGCTGCCCCGAGATACATGAAAAACTCGTGTGAGGGAGTCTACGCCTATTCAGCGTTTTTGCAGCGGTGTCATCTGGGCCCCTTGGTTAACAGAATTTCATTATGAAGCACTTGTACGCTGCAGACTTCTCAAGGTCCAGGAGTTGTCGCACTGATTATAGTTTAATCTAATTATGTACGACTTTTGTGAAGTGTGTGTGGATGTACTAGACAAAGATTAACATGGAGAATAACAACAAGAGGCAAGAGGGGAAACATTTGTAATAATTGAGCCGCTGATTGCAAGAGTTTAACACAAATAGTAAATCATAGGGGAGAGCTTATTATAAGGGGCGAAGAAATTCCTCCCTCTGTTTCATACAAATATGTGTTCTCTTCATCTTAACAAGCTGTAGGCAGTACACAATGTCATGGCAAGCCTGTGTAACACTGCCCAATGAAATGATGACCACCTGGAGGAGGGGCAGCGAGCAAATATCAAGCTATTTAACTCGATAATAGAAAATGCTTTAATAGATATAACTGCCATCACACTGCCAGGACACTGCTGTATTAAACGTTCTCCCTCATAACAGAGGAATACAGACCCAACATGATGTGTGCTGTCTAAATGTGTAATACAATTGCATGTTTTATATTTTTCTGCTATCTGGAGTACTTACAGAGATTCAGTGGCCACCACTCTCTGTGCGAGCCCATAAAGAGTCCCACTGTTGGTGAGGACCACCATTTGGCTGAGGTGGGGGCTGGGCACCTTCTCCTTCCTGTCCTCCACTGCTCCATGGACTCCTGAAGTCTCTCCCAATGCCTCCTGGGAAACACACAGGTGGACAGGCATGTTAGCAGAGAAGCTAAAATATGTACATTTATAGTATCCCTGACATTTCAGTTTCCAGAGATATAAGAGACGCTTGATGACAGTTGAATGGATCCTCTTCTATATGTAGTTCATATGGAGCGCTTGGTCTGAGTTATTCAGTACAGAATATAGTCAAATGTAGGTGTTATTAGTAAGGTTCCTAGAACTCGTTATACATCAAATTCAATGACTTTTCAAGGACTTTCCAGGAATTTGTGTGCTTAGAATTTAAGCTCACAAATCAAGTTAAATCACTGATACACCTAGACATGCTTATTCTAAACACTGGTAATTGTTTTATTAAAGGTGGGGTAGGTAAGTTTGAGAAACCGGCTCGAGATACACTTTTTGTTATATTCCATGGAATGCTCTTGACATGCCGATAGCAATGAATATCTTAAGTGCTTTGACAAAAAAATCATCTGTGGAAGCCGTAGTGCTGTAAAAAGCACGACCAATCATTTTAGCCAGCCCGTCTAAAGTAACTGGATGGCCTACCTGCCTGTCAGCCTTCCATCTCGTGCACAAACTTATCTCGTGCCCTCATTGGTCATGTGCGCGTTCGTGTGTGTTGGAGGAGGGGCTCTGTAAGGAAGTGGCAGATTTTTTCCGGCTGTGTATTTTCAAATTCTAGCGCACTCGAGCTGGTTTCTCTACCCTACCTTTAAGCTCACAGAAATCAAAGTAATAATTTTTCGAAAATGAACAAACTTTCAATCTTTTCAATGACCCGTGAGTTATCATCAGAAGACACACATAGATATAAGAAGGTACCAGAGTGAGCATTGATTAAAAATCTGATACATCTTTTTAAATGATTTGTAACCATCGGTGTAAATGTGTTACGGTTTCTAAGGAGGCGCTGCAGAGGAAGAGCCCGCTCCTCTAACCTGACATAACAGATGTTTCCCATGCAAAAATGAAGACTGGTAGGTAAGCACAATCTGAAATTCAATCAACCTTGTGGAACTCGGTTACATCCAAAGCACACACTCTAAAATTCTGCTGACCAAACACTCCTCAACAGAAAGCATTTATCTTCCTTTTGATATATTCCACTACACCTATCCATCCCGCAGCCCCTTTATCCCTCCATTGTTAAAACAATAGGAATAGAAAAAAGAGATATTCCATCTTAAATCCCTTCCCATCAATCACAGTAATCCATTTCTGCATACACAGCCGTTGAGATTCCACACAGGAGGGCAGATCTTATTATTTTCTACAAAGGTATGATGAATCACATTGGCATGAAGGGTCTTGCACCTTGCAGACGCAAAGCCCCTTGTAACAGCTTCTGGGAGATCAATAGCCATGACAAAGCTAAGGAATGAACGGGAGCGATTAATGCTGTAGCAAATCAAACACTTACATACTGTACTCCTTTGCAATCTGGGTCTAATATTGTGTAGGTGCACCATTATTTCACATGGCAGATTTTAATCACCAACTCACAAACACAGAAAAAAGTTCAGAGTTTCAGAAGATTTCAAAATAAAGAAATGCGTAAATCAAAGGATAATGTATGAATAAATGGTAAGCATCATCAAAAAAAACTCAAATAAATGTAATATAGATTTTGTGATATAAGAGATCTATATCTCACAAGTTTTATCACGGCTGAAGACTAGGAAGAAAGCAGTGATCTTTGCTGAATACAAAGCAGTTTTTAAAAACAAGCAGCGGTGTGCACAGATTTAAGAAGATGACGTCTCTTGCATTCTATTCCCTTAAATAAGAGATATAATCGGCCCAGCATACAGGACAAAAATGCAGAGTATGCAGCTCAAAAGACAATTTATGGTTGTCCTGGACCGAGACCGACGATGTAAAAACTGCAACCTTTCCACAACCTCTGAGTTATCTCCCGGCATTCAATCAAACCTTTAGTGCTGCAAAAAACATTATACGTCTGAAATAAAACGTTATCACATTGAGAAGATTAACACTTGAATTTATATTACTTTTACAATTATAGCTAAGGGTATCTAATGGCTTCCCCGTGGAGTTTGCAATATATCTCTCCTAAGAGCAACTCTCCGCAAATATAATAAGACTTGTTGCTTTCTAAAAGTCAGAAACGTGAATACCATAATGAATGAAACACGGATGGTAAAATCAAATATGAAAAGCGTAAAAAAATAGCAAGTAAAGAATGAAAAGGGAACTCATAACATGACATAATTGAAAGGGATACTCTTACGTTTTTAATACACTTTAGATTATAAACTTAGAGATCGCTTTATTCCTTCGACTGAATGAATAGCTGCAAGCCTCTGATGTTTAGACCACCAGAATAGAAAGGAAAGGACAAAAAGCACACTGCGATCTTTTTTCTACTCCAGACTTTGTGTCCTTTGGCAACAGACTATAATTCACAGCACGACCTCTCTCCACACCAAAGTCACCACACCCTGGCCTTTGTACAGCTGGACTTACTGAACGTTTCGTTATTCTGTTCTTAAGGCAAAAAGGGGAGACAGTAAAGCTCCAAACTTATGATGCATTTTGTATTTAATCACTGAAGTGAACAGATGTTTGATTTAGTCATTTTATTCACTGCTTATTTTTTGGAGTATGCATCAAGTATAGGGTTGAACTGGTTGACTTATGCTGCTAAAAAATACAATGATTTATGCAAAGCCCCATAATCTTCAACATCAACAGCACAAATAAATGCATGTAATTCCCTTCAGTCCTAACATAGCAGTGTGGGATTGAACACACCCAAAGTTAAACGTCAGCGAGGTCTCAGATCACTGTTAATGGTTAGAGAGGGACAGCCCTAAACACATGACAGCACATAAACATGACTAACAGTGCAGAGGTTATGGAGCTAATCCAGAAGGGCCATTAGTACACACTTAATGCACAAATGATTTAAAATTTGGGCTGTGGTAAAAGCTGTTGAGCAGCAGCGGCTGCTGGCCTTTTGTACCAATGACGTCCCGGATGAACACAAACACGCGAAAAGAGAAAATATTGATGTAATTAAAACTGCTGTTCCTCTTTTTGTCGTGCGTAAATAGTTTGGTGGCGCAACATTCAGCATATTAAAAGAAAAGTGCTATACACTGTGGCCAAAACATGCATTAGCACTTGTACTTCTAATCTCTCTCGGCTAACATCCTTTTGTAGTCAAAATGCTTTCTTGCTTTTAGATCTGTTGGGGTCACTGACACGATGAACTGCAAGAAAGGGAGCAAAGCTTTGTTTGAGAACGATTTCTATGAAGATGGCTGCTTTATGTGTATTTTTGAACATAGGTCACGCGTTATGTAACACACATCTTAAGATTTAAGAAACAGTTCTTAGGACATATTACAATATTTGCTTTGTTATAATGAATGATGTCATTGGGTTGCATTATGAAAGTCAGGCGTGTAGTTGTGTATTCACCTTTAAATCCACCAAACCAATGTTTGTTGCATTAGTCAGTATTACAGCAAAGTCTGGTTTGGTCTATTTTTAATTCTTCCACAGGAGGCTTGACCTTTCATTGACTACTGAAAAGAAGGCTTCTGAAAGACTGTCAGGAGAAATGTTGGGTTGCTTTCCTGCGTAATAACTCTGCAGGGATTCTTCAGGTAACAGTGATGGCTGGACTGAATACTGAAAGTATTTTTAAAAAATAAAACGGAAGGAGAAAAGTAAACAACATCCATGACATTTGGTATTTTACTTATACAATTCAAAGGTAAGAACAACCTTTTAGAGATGCTCGAAGCTCGACAGCTGGTGGCAACAGTTTTATTTGTACGTGATGTGGGTGTCAAAAAAGTTCAGACTTCATGTTTATTAGTTATTTAAATGTTTGATCTGCTGTTATCTTTCTCAAAATGGCAATTATGATTTGACGTTAAAGTATTAAATTATGTTTTTGTTGCCCTTTGGTGCCCCTGAATATCTTAATATTGTTTGGGTTATAAACATGCAAATACTTTTTGACATTTGCATGTTTATATAATACAAACACTTGAATGCAATTTGAATGCTTTTGCATGTATACATCTGCATAATATTGTAAAAGATTCTGAGAGAAAAAAGTATATTTCTTCCCAAAAAAGACATGACAGATTAACCTCTCTGCTTTTTTGTCTTCATAAACCGTTGGCCTTTTTAACTCAGTTATTTGTGTGGCTGTTGGCAGACATGCACCAGAATGCAGCTGCTGAAATCCTCACATTTATCAGAAAACTGGGAAAAAGAGAATTTCAAACTTGTAAAAATAGCTTTTACACAAAGATAAATATATAGTCTCCAGTCATAACAGACCTACTGTAATCAAATGCAGTGTAACTTGCTTTTTATCTGATTTGTTCAAAGACACAACTGCGCAAAACAAATTATGACTTCACTTTCATGAAGACACTCGATCAAAATGACAAATGACTTCAGCGAGACAAAAGTAAACCAACTCCATGCTCCTGCCGCATTGCCAAGATCAGCAAAAGAATGCCATATTGGACAAATTTAACATCAGTGAAAGATTTTTCATAGTCATACAAGGGCCTGAAAAATAGGGATGTGGCATACCTTTTCATATGCCATGACTTACGGTGAAGAGGTCAAACTTCATTTGATTTACACCCTGCAGCTGCTGAAGATATTAGGAGAAGTTTTACTTCAACAGCAATTTCTCTGCTGTCCCTCCGAGATAAAATAATAAATAGCTTTTTTCATTGAGGAGGCGTAGGGTTAGACAACTAAAACAGACTGATGAGCATTATTCCGTGGAGCTTATGAACAATTTCTGATGGCGTACAACATTTAAAAATATCTCTATGAAAGAACATAATCTATCTTTGACCATATTGTGTAGTGTAGTACTGTGTATGAATGTTCTTGTATAGAAAATAGCCTTCATAGGAAATAAGAGCTTAAATTCATAGTTTTTTTTACCAATAGCTCCATGGAAAGAAACATAATGAGAAACTATTTTTGATAATAGC